TCATGTGCGTGGCGCGACATGTCAGAGATGAGCGAAACATGACAGTGAAAGACACCGTGACCATGGCCGGGGTGGCCGGGGCCATCACGCTTAGATAATTGTTGCATAAGCAGGAGTATATATTCAGCTCGAGTTTGTGCTAGATACCCCAGAATTCAATGTGCCCTCCATAGTGGTTGTCTTGCTCCACATAGTCAAAAGGTCTTTGACATCGACGACGACGACGACGAACACTGTGATTACGCGATCCGAACCCGAGAATGCTACCCAACAACACCGAGACTGCCCAAGAACGCTGAAACTATCTCCAAATTGTCTGATATACCAGAACTATTGTCAAATTTTGGATATTGAAGTGCTAGCTTAATGTAAAGACATGAACATGGGAAAACTATGCTCAGATGTGCTTCCCTTTATGGAACGTCACCCTCTTTGGATGGAGCGACCCATATTAGAGTTGTTCATGCCATTGATGGTGTGGCAACTGATGCTCTTGATGCTGGTTGTTCTACTCAAGGATGAAGACAACAAAGGGACCAGGTAATGTATCTATCTTGTGGGTTGTTGTTGTGGGAATGTTTGGCCACAAGAGGCATACTCTGTATGTCATATCTGTCCTATCCTACATCAGCACCTCCTTCCTCTCCACCCAACCTAACATCTTCATTACCACCACCACTACCACCACCAGCTTGCAAACCATCAACATCATCACTGTCATCAGTAATCCCATCACACTCACACCACCTTCACCACCTCAACTTAGTCATCATCATCCTGCTCCTATGGGTTGCAGCATGGATATACTTTCCATGGAGCCCTGAACACACAGACCTTGATTTGGGTGTTTTGGTTGTTTGTGGAGTTGTTTCTGCATTCACCATTGCTCTCATTTCATGTATTTCATCCCTTCCAACGATCACCTTGGGACAGAGTCTGCGATGCTGCTGGATCCTTAGAGTTTCTTCTCTTTGGATCCTCCCCTGCTAGGTTGGTCCCTCCATGTATTTCCTGTAGCTTTATTCACACTTTGGATCCTCCCCTACTAGGACTCTCCTCGGAGCCTCTGGGGTTGCCCTTACACCCACCAACTAACATCATATCCAGTGGTGCCTCCCCCATGCAATGTTGTGCTGTCCTTTAGTTTATTATCCAGTTTATGACCCTTTAAAGTATGTAATGAACTTAATATTTCATTATGGCTTTCCCTGTTACAAAAGTTAGACAAATTATCATTTGGACATGTCTTGATTAGATATTGATTAGGACTGTGTGACTGATAAAAGCCTTTGTTAAGTCAATGCTAGTATCACATAAAGGACTAATAGACAATATAGTATATAACTTATCCCTTTAACTTGCATCTGTTTAGTCTCTCTAAGCCTCACTGGTGCCAAGTAATGATCATTACATGTGCATGTATAGGTACAGGCCTGGTGCATTGAACCTACTAGCCCACAGGTTGGCCCAGTATACCAGATAATTGGGTCTCCAGTGACTCTTTATGTGAAAACATATTGTTGATAGTTTGGGTGACCTCAGTGTAGCGCAGTTGTGGCTTCTGTAGTCCATAGGCCTGTCAAATTCAGGCCACCCACGGCCTAGCGGCTAGAATGCTAGTACCTACACCTACCAAAGCAGGCCAGGCCATTAGCAGAAATGGGTGCACCCTAAAAAGTCATTTGCAGAGATACCTTGATTAGTGATGGCTCAGAGAAGCTATAGAGCTATGGGCTTGAAGGTCTCAGAGTAGGGCATCCACATCCAGAGAGATCTCTGATTTCATCAGTAATCCCTGATGATTGTAACTCTAGAGAGAGAGTCCCAGAGATTGTCACAAAAATTGTAGACTAGAGACCATTGGGTGAGTGTATTCTATTTTTAAAGAAAGCTCTATTTTTTATTTTATTTATTTTTAAAGAACTATATGCCTAGGTTTTTATGGCAGCCCATGGTTAGATCAAACATATTCTTTGATTTAGCTCTGACAATATAATGACTGTAGTTAGAGAGTCATGATGATTTTATTATCTCATCAGTCAGCACAAAAAAGTCGTGGACGGGCGCTGGTGGCTGGCTTGGTTTAGGTACGACATCCACTACCATCTGTGGAGTCGTTTGCTGACCGGGGTTCTGCTCATACCATTTGAGCACCCTCTCGCGCAAGTATTTGGCTTGGATTACGCGGGGTACAAAATTGCCGTTAGCCAGCACGACTCTCCCCTCATGATTGCGCTTCACCAGCCCCTTATTTGAATCTTTGAGCACCTTCCCGCAGTCGCCCATGAAGTGTGTCATGTTGCTGCAATAGCCACACCCAGGAGGGTGCTGGAAGGGAGTCGGATTAGCGGGCTGGTTGGGCTGCACCGGGAGCAGTCGCGCAGACGCCATTGCTTGGGGGGTTTCGTGTCTGGTTGCCCAAGATGGTGACCAGCTGCGTTAACAAGGGAAGTATTGCTTTAATTTCTGGGTTGATATTCAGTGTCGGCTCTGGAGCCGGTGTTGCTGCGACTGATGTGGAATACATCAGGGACAACGTGCCAGCAAGCACATATTTCGCGGCCTCGTATAGGTCCTTCAAGTCGTACAGATCGTCGGCAAGAACATGCGGCTTCAAAATCTGCAATTGCTGCTTCACCGAGGCTTGCAGTGACCCGGGCTGGAGCGCACGCAGGAATGCATTGCTTTGCTCGGTCTTAGAGAGCCGTTTCTTCGAGATCACTGATCTCGAAGAAACAGCAGAACTTGCCCATTTGTACAAAGGTACGGTAGAATGTGGCGAGCTCATGCTCAGAGTGGAGACCAACACGTGCTGTACTTCCCAGGTGCGTGTCCCAATCTTTCAGCGTATACAGGTGGTTCTCATCATTCCCGGCATAGTAGACCAACACGGCTTTCTTAAACTCCTTGTAGAACTTTCCCGCATCGCTAAACTCATCGAGCCCCTCCGCCAACTCTTGGTCCTGGACAGACAGGTATCATGCGCATGCCTTTTTCTTGGCGGGATTGGTGGTAATTTGTGCTAGGTCCATAAGATACTCGATGTCAGCAAAGTATCGACGGAGCTCCTCTGGTTTTGTTGAGTCGAACTTGTTGGAGCCATATTTGTGGGAAGGTTATAGATGGGTGGCGCTATCGAGGGGAGTCGGGACGGTGGCGGGGCGCGGCTCAGGGTTGGAGATTCGGGTGGTGTTTGCTCGTCGGGGGTGTATACCTGTTTGTCGATAGGTGTAGGAGGCCGATCAAAGAGCCAAGCTAGGGTAGGATCATCGCGGTGGTAAGGGGATAAGTTGTTGTGGGTCGCAAATGTGTCAGGTATGATCTGTAAAAGATTGTCTGAATCTCCTGGCAAGTAAGGGGTGGCGACGTAGGGGTCGTGGATTGCCGCAAGGACTTCTTCACAGAGTTTGCGGTTGCTTTGCTAAGCTTTGTTAGGCCGTAAGGCGTAAGAGGCGTCAGACGCAATCTTGAAGTCCCCTCGCGGTGGGCTCCAAAATGACAAGCTTTCTCACTGGTGTGAGAAATAACAAGAAAAGCAAGAGCCCTTCAAACTGCTCTAACTGCAACCAAAGGCTACAGCACAACCAGAGAGGGAGAAGAAGAGGAAGACTTTGGACTCTGAGGGAAACTCTGCTGTGGGAAACTATATAATATGGGAACTAAACTGGAGACAGGCTTATATACACTACTAACCAGGAGCTAAGAGAAGGAACAGGAACAGGAACTATAAGGAAACATATAGGAACTAAGGAACACATAAAGGGGGAGATCAGGAACAACTAACAAATATGGACAAGCAAGACCAAACAAGCAACAACAAGCCAAACGCTTGTCAGTGTTCTACTAAGCTTCGCATGCAGATTAGGCCTCTGTTGTACTCAAATCAATTCACCGTGTTCCAAGAGTTGCCTTCTTTTGTGGTCCACATCTTCGCATGAGATTTGTCCTCCGTTCCTGTTACCGTCTCAGGCTCCACCACTCCGGTCGCTGTTCTCCACGTGTGGGAGGTATTTGAACTCGGCGAGTCTGGAACGCGACGGCGGATGGATGTAAACGAGCGTAAAAGTGTAGACGGTCAGCGTGTGGATGCAGAAAAGCCTAGTTACCACATCTCGCTTTGCCAGACATTGACCACGGTATTCATTTGCTATACAAAGGTCTACATCTGGATCATTTGTGAATGTAATCGTGTGGTAAGCAATTTCTTGTACTTTGCTTGTTGTTCCATTTCGCAAGGGGGGTTCAAGTCTCGAATCATGGATATAGGGTCGGAAAGTTTTTTTCCGACCCCTGAAGCGATCAAAAGGTGGGATAAAAAATTCAATCCTTGTGAAACTTTTTTTTGCAAAGTTTTTTATATATGTGTATGTGTATATGTGTATGTATGTCAAACACACATGGCAGGCCATATCAACTCTTCAACATGTTCACCTCTCATCAATTACCTGTCCATGGACCTATAACAGAGTGGGCTATCCAAGCTCATGGGCCTGAAAGGATATAGATATAAGTATGAGGGTTGTGAACTATAGAAATTGGAGTGTATACACTATATTTTCAGTGTCTTTACACCCATATAAGGCCCAAATCTTTCATATACAAAAAGTTTTTTTTTACCCCCCTGGGACCCCCCCCCTCCGCCCTACCCCATGTGCCTGATAAGGATCTTGAACCCCCTTGCCATTTCGAGCACAAGAGCACGTTGACAAGGAAGCTGATGGACTATATGTCTCTGTGCATCTTCCGCCTTGCATTCATCTATTTTCCCTCCCCCGCATATGAAATACTACCGCGAACTGTGGGTTTCCTTCCTCATACCGCACTAGCAAGGATGCTGATTCATCCTGTTGTAACAAGTAATAGGGACTACTACTACGACAAACAATGGCCCAGATATGCAAATTGAGCTCTCAACACCGGCCCAGAAGCTCAACTGAAAATTACCCAACGGGATCTAGGTTGTACTGTAGTTTGGACGTATCAAACATTCGTTCTCGGAATCAACGGTACACCTCGTCCAATTGCTCCTTGCTCAACATCACCAACTCCTCATAAACCTCCGGCGCTTGGTCACGCAAATTTTCGACGTCCACCTCCAGTGCTTTCATCTTCGCACTAATCTCCGCAAGCCGTTGCTTGACGAACGCCGCCCTGGGCGAACACAACACCCAGTCGACATGGTAGGTCGTGTCCTGCTCCATGATGGCAATGTGGTGCAGCCCCAGCACGTATTGATCGTTGTCTGACGCGGAGAACTTGTTGGGCCCGCGGAAAAGCGAAGGAACAAGGCCTGATTGGCCGTAGATATCGACAAGCGACTCCTGGGTAGGCGGGACAAGACGGATGCTGCGGCCCCCTGTGCTGGCGGTATAGTCGAAGACGATGAGCGGGGGGTTGCGCACATCTGAGTGGAGAGATCCGAGCGTGAGGCGAAGGATATCGAGCTTGAGCGACCGGTAGTCACGCTGGACGATCAGCCGCAAGAAGCCTTCGGCACGTTTGTTCCGGAACGGCGCGGCGGGACCACGATATTGGTGCTGCATCATCGCTAAGTCGGAGTCAGCGTTCGTACATGAGGTGATAGAAGGCTTACCAACGAGCGCACAGCCGCCGTCGCGATGGTCGTGAGCCCACGACACCTTTTGGCACTTCTTGTCGCAGTAGAGAGTACCGGAGCAGCCTGAGCAGCGGCGGAAGTCCCGCTCGAGACCGATTTGGCCACACTATCGCGGGTGTGAAAGGTATAGAGGAAGAGAAGAAGCAACTCACTGTGGGACTGCCGCACATACGGCGCGGCCGATGCTCTCCTGACTGGTATTCCTCCAGGATTGAAAGTCGCTCCTTTGCGAGAGCGACGAAGCCCGCCCAGACATGGTGAAGCTCATCTGAGTCATCCGTAGCTTCTCCACCATCCAAGTCCATCTGCTGGCGCTGGAGCGCTTCCATGACGGGATGGTATATCAACGAGCCGGGAAGACGCGCCAGGAGCTGCTGCACAGGGACGTAGGTGTCGGCATTTTGATTGTCAATAACTTGCTTCAGAACGCGCAGCAGGCCAGCGTCCAGAGCCTTCGGGAGATACAGCCACCGTTCGGAAGACGTGAGCGAAATGGCGATGAGGCGGAGCCCATCCGACAGCGGAGATGGCGGTAAATCGCATACGCGGGTGAAAGCACGCGCGACGGCGCTGAGAAGCCCATGATGTAGAAGTGATTTCGCCCAGGGGCTGGCCGGTGGGCGGACGAGGATGATATTGCAAGCCATGGCAATCAGCCCACATAGCACGTCCTCGTCGTCAGAGTCGTCGATGGTGTCGACAATGTATTTGCAGAAGTCTATCTGCGTGCGCGCTGATTCGAAGCCCTCGATAAGTGCAGCCGCGGGAAGTTTGGCCCCGCGCATGGCACCAAATAGTCTGTAGAGACTGGAGAGCCAGACAGCAAGGTCTTGCTGACGGTGAGAGTCCGAGAACGTGGTTTGAATGAGCTCAGCCCATAGTCGACCGCTGAGGCGCGATAAGTCGTACAAGACAGCGGGATCGCCACCCAGGTCAGCAGGCGTGGCGGTGGAGAGGAAGGGAATTAGCACCACGAGGAGTGTCGAGCAGGTTTCCCGAAGAATGGACTGGGCTTCTGCGGGGTTGGAGTCGTACAGGGTGTCGGCAAGCTTCTCGACAGCCAGGACACAATCCCACATGCGGGGCCACAGCGCCCGATATATTGATTTCGGCACGAGAGGGTCACAGGCATCGACAAGGTTGAACACAAGCCCAGCTATGTGGGTGAGAAGATGGGGATCGTCGGCCGCAGTGAAGCTGGCGATGCGCTGTGGCGCGAGGAGGTGATTGACAACGGGGAGAAACGAGAGTCCCTGAGACGGCGTTCCGTAAGCCAGGTCGTAGAGCCGGTGAAGGGCGTCAGTGGAGCCCGTCATCGCTTTCTGTGCGAGAAGCTGTTGAATGTCAGCTCATCAAGTGGGGATGGAAATGTAATAGCGCACGCGTTGAGAGACTGGCAGCTTCTGAAGCGCTCGGAGCGAGAGTAGTGGGTGTGGCATCGTCTGGAAGCAGTTCTGCAACCAGCCGACCGCCCTTTATACCCGCCGCCCGCACGCTCCGCGCCCACGCGTACCGATTCGACAAAGCACCATTCTGACGTCTTGGTTCCTTTGTTTGATTTTCCGGTCGTTTCGGCCTCTGGCTGGTTGTTTTGTACAACGGGAGCACGGGAAAGACAGCTGCAGTTGAGCCGGAGGAAGAGGATGCGCGACGGAGGACATGGCCGTTGACGACAAGCAGCGTGGGAGCGTGACATCACGCCAACGCCGATCTTCGCTTCTCTTCCGCTAACCACCATGTGCGCGCGCATTGTGCCGCGTCGCCGCGCACGGCGGTCGCACTCACGGTGGCTTCACACGCGAATGATAAGCCACCTGGTTGGTCGACGGCGCGCTTAAGTGGCCGGCGGGCCGGAAGCCGGTGCCTCCCCACTGCGAAGACTGTCGTCGCTTCTCTGGTCAACAGTCACCAGTTCTGGCTTCTTCAACCTGCCGCACTCTTGGGGCAAGGGCGGTTCTGGACGCCTCTGGGTGGACGGAGCCGAGGGACAGCGAGGCAGCGAATGTGGGGAGAGATTGTGGCATTGTGCTTGCAATTGGGTGCGATATTGCGCCCCCGTCTCAAGTTTTTTCCGCTAATGCTTCTCTGTAGATGAAGCACACTGTTAGCCGGTGCGACATCCTTCTGGGAATGACGCTCTAACGGTTTTCGCTTCAACGACGGGCTTGTTCTCCCCGATGGACCGTTCCCCGACCCTTTATCCAACTCCAACACATTGACCATCGTCTTAACCCTCAAGAACACACCCACACTTGTGCTGCACGCCCCAATTCGCCGCCAGCGTGCCTGGCCTCGACATCCGACCCTGCTGGCGCCTGTGGATGCTTGGACTTGGTGCTGGGGGGTAGCTCCCGCTGGTGCGCCCACCGCCCTGAGACCCCGACTCCTCGCTTCATCGTCTCAATCTCACAACGGACGGCGCACGTTTGGGGCCATCTCGTCGGTCCGCTTCGGACGCGTTGGCGGGGACATCCGGCAACGAGAAAAGTGCTGGATACGAGGCGAGTCACCGGGACAGGTGCGCGGGCACGTCTTCTTATTCTTCAGTTTTCACTGTTCAGCGCCTTCGCTCACCCTTACTGCCTCTCTCAGGGCTGTACTCAGGCTCGCGCTTAGGGTCCGCTGACCCTAGAGGCATGGTCAATGTCTAACACAGGTGTGTTGCTGTCCATTTTCAGTATCGGCTATGACCTGAAGTCTCCTAGGCGCACTCTCTTGGCGTACCCCATTTCACGCTCGACCGCCATGCGGACGTTCCAGCCGTCGCCAGAGAACTACGGCCACTATTGGCGCGCATGTTTTGGGGCTTGCCGAGATACGAGGAGGGCAAAAGGATCAACTCCGCTTGCCGTCTTTTGGGATTTCGACTGTCTAGTTGTAAGGTATAGCTACTAGTACAAGCTATGAATCTCCATAACATCTATTTCTTTCAGCATATCCTGCACAAGCCCGCGGTAATATGCGTCGTCCCGCTCCTCGTCGACAGGGATGGGTGCGAGTTGACCCGCAAGTGTACAAATTTGATTAAAGAGCACGGTAGACATCGATATGGCTGACGATGTGTGCAATGGCATGAGGAGCCAGTGTTGCGTCTGCGGTTTGTCCCCCGGAATACCAAGGACGTGCAGTTCGATTCTGCTGACAGCCCGTTCGCGCTGCGCCATGGCGATGCTGATATCCGCGCTGATCGTGGTTTCAATATCTTGTGGCACAGTGTCCAAGCTATATGTTGCTGTTTTGCAGAATCCCGAGGAGCAGTCGAAGACAGTAACGATTGGCTCTTCGAATTCGAATGGATTTTCATTGCTTTGATTCAAGTTCTTGTGCAGAGACGCCAACAAATTGACCGCAGTCTCCGTGCGGTGCTCCTTCAGATAATACGCTGCGAGTGCCCTCAGAAAGGCGCGATCGGTTGCAAGGGAGAAGCGCCGACGTAGCTCTATGACATCCACAAATCAGGATCTGACGTCAAGCATGCCCATTCACTCACCAGCATGACGATCCCCCAGGAATTCACAATTCTCTCGATGTCCACCGACTCGATAATCAACACGCTGGCAGTGCTTCGAGCAATACAGTGCCGCTAAACACCCAGAGCATTTTTGGAGGCGTGCCTTTGTGGAAATAAGGCCGCACTGTCGAGATTGTGAGCAATTTTGTTATCGGAATGCAGATGTCCACTGACCGACGCGTTCTTGCACACATACAGATCAACTCGGAGAGAAGCTGTAGAATCCAAGATATGTAGCCGCTCCTCTACCAACTTTGTTGCGTCTTCCCAGACCGGAATGAGACTTTGATGCATCAGTGTGCGTTTAGAGCTGTTGAGACCATCGAATGCTGCACGGAAACAACGGAGAACAGATGGGTCAGTGGTTGATTCATCGAAGACATCGTGTGCAAGATTTACGAGGATCTCGTTGCTCTTCGAGATATGGCGAAGCAAAAGCATCAGAGAAAGAATGCCGGCGCTGAGGGCCTGGATAACGGCGCGACTGTGGGGTCTGGCCATAGACAGGAAGCTAGTAAGCGCGTCGAGAGATGCATCCATGACGGGACTTCGAGCCACTTGTTTGCACTTGGCAATGTCAGAGCCTGCCCGCTGAATCATCGTGTGCGCAGTCGTAATAAGAGAGGAGAGGACACCCTTCACGATAAGAGCCTCTCTAAGTCCATTGATTTGAGCAATATCCACCAAGAGGTGCAGAAGGTCAACCCTCTCTCCATCGCTCTTACTGGAATTTCTAGGGGTTGAGTTGGCAGATTGGCTGGCGACAGGCGGGCTGCACCCTAGCGCCTGCATATGCTCCATCAGAATAGCGGCGAGAGAGTCCCATGTGCCGCCGACTCCGTTGACGAGGTCCCTCATGCCTTGCGCAATGGCGCTCCGTTCGCGCGGTGGCTCTACTTCGCACATGAAGAACGTTGTGATCACCCCAAGGGTGGTGTCGCGGGACTCGGAAGCGGGAGACCGTAGGACCGCCCTCCACGCTGGGATGAACTCGGAGTAGAAGTCGGGGCGACTCGAGAAAGCGTGGATTACTTCGTCTGATGTGCAGTAAGCCGGGGCGACGTGTCGCATTCGAGCTATTGGCCGAAAGACTATTGCATACGACTCAGAAAAGTCCCCGCGATTGGCGGCGTCCCCCGGGCCCCCGTGTCCGTAATAGAAGTCATTGCCGTGGCAGAGCCATACCCAAAGGTCCAGAATGTGATAGATGACACATATTAGATTGATGAAGTAAGCCTTGAGGAATCTGTTCGCGCGAATGTGGGATCGAAGGGTTTGGACTGCTTCAGACGTGCCATGAAGAGCCCGTTCGGCCAACTCCTGCCAGGAGATGTAAGGAGTTAGGAAATTAGAGATTGAATGAAGGGGCCATATACGCGGGTGTCAACGGGGACCTTCTTCAGGTTTGTCAGATCAAATGGCGAGTACATGGCCGTCAAGAGCAGGAGTCGCGTGCCACGTGGCGCCGAGTCATGACATCTACAGTGCCACATCATTGATCGGATTTGTGAACGCTTGTTGTACAATTTGAAGGAATGGCATGAACATACTGCTAACCGAAGAGTACTTTCCCTCCACCCTCCAAAAAACACTTCTTTTCCTGGTTTGCATGGATAAGCAAGCTGAATTCAGAGGTCGTCTGTTCGTTTTAGTGGTCTTCTGGCTTTGGCTTCAGGCCAAAAAGCCATGGCTTTTTGGCTTTGGTACCAGAGCCAAAGCCAAGCCACAACTGGTGGCCCAGGCAGGCTTTGGCCTGGCTTGGGAGTCTAAAAGCCAAAGCCGGGCCAAAAGCCACTGGCTTTATCACGTGATCGCGTTAGTCGGAGATCGGACTTGTCGGAGTCATCAGCCGAGTCGATCAGTACCGTAACACTTGATTTCTACCAGCACAGCCTGCCAGCACATTTCCAGCGCAGCAACCACTGCCATCGTAACAGCGAGGCGGATGCTTTGTAGCCTCTCTGCCCTTCCCAACGCTGCTTTGCGTCCGTCTACCGGACTCATTAGTGTTTCAATATATCCAGCGTAAGTCTTGGCTTTTTTCAGTATAAAATCACCGCCAGGTTTGCTGAAACCTATTAGCGAATGCCGGCGCGGGACCTTCCTGACTCGACATTGGTTGTCGAAACAGCACGGGCACGAACTAAATCAAGCCGCGCACTTGGCTACGAACAGCCACAGGAAGATGTTGTGGATATCCATGGATCCGAGTCTGAAGACTCGGATACACGTCGGTGATCTTCTTGCCCAGCTTCTACTATATTCATCTTCTTGAAGCTGTTGTAATCGCAGGAAAGCGCAAGAAGAAGCCCGTCAGTGATCTGCGAACTCCCGTCAAGGTCACCAAGGTTGTCATGGGGTCTTCGCCTCGCAGTCCCCTCAAACGACGTGAGGTTTTTTGAACACTTTGTTGTCCATTCTGACGCCATCCTCCCAGGTATTCGCAGGGGCCCTGTCAACTCTACCGTGGATGATGCCACAGATACCGAACCGACAACCGCTGGTGGCTCTGCCCTATCTACGGCGACAGCGACAGCGACGACAGTGGCCGATCCTGATGCTATTGACGATTCTGGGTTCCTCGCTGACATACGACTCACCGCATTAACTGGCCCTCGCAAGAGAAAGGCCGACACGAATAAGGACTTGGACCGATTCTTTGGCCCATCTTACATTGAGAGCCGGACGAATGGGAAGGAGCAATCACGACGGCTTTGCCTCGCATGCCCGGGGTATTTCTTGTCAACCTATTTGTCCTTTCGTTCTACTGACACTCAAATGTAGAGGAAAGAAAAGCATTGTCGACCAACCCACCACATTACGTCGCCATCTTGAAGCGAGTCACTATGTAGCCCTTCATTGTCTCGTCAACTATGTCACTAATAGGATGCCAGAGTGCTTATCAGAAATGGGCCACAAAATCCGACT